CCGTTGGGTTGCCTCCCAACAAACGCTTGTTTCACGCCGTAAGCTCGACACCTTTATTTATGCATATGCTTCTCTATGTTGCTTGGTTCACCGACTACTACCAAATAAACCTACACAATACTTGAGAAAACGTAAAAACAAATTCACAAACACATAAACATGATAGAAAACACATATATATAATCACTTATGGATAACAACTATAAACATGTATATAAAAAGCTTAAAAACATAGAAATTAACGCAATGCAATTCAATATCATAACCAATCCCCGACAACGACACCATTTTGTTGAAGCGGTAAATCAGCAAGCAAAAATATTATTTTTGGAAGAATTTCCTCTGAGATTTATGTCGTCTCCACAGGGATCAGTGTGAGGGAAAGAATGTCGTTTGACAATCTCTACGTCTCTAAGCTTGGGTTTGAATGGTTTGGGATAAAAATGCAAAAGGAAAAACATAAAACAAGAAAATAAAGACATTCTTAAGAAATGAGAAAACTCGTCAGGAGTTGTATTTTGTTCCACCCATCATGTACTAAAAAATATATGGATAAAATTCACGCAACCTAAGTCGCTCGTGAATATCATCACGTATAGATCACAACAGAGGTTATGTCTAATGCAAAGTCGAGAGAACAACCACATCGTCTCATCGGTGATGTCTCACACAACTCAACAATACAGAGCATTAAGAATCGATACCCATGTGAATATTAGTCCTAAATCTATGTCTAGAGTTTAGAATCTAACAGATGTTCATCTTAGACCGAGTTCGAACTGTATATGTCTATAGCAATCCAAACCCATTAAATAAAAAATTAAGATAATCATCGATAAAGAGTTGTAAAAGAGATTTTATATAAAGATTCATAAATATACATACAATCAAGATAAACTTACATATAAAACCCCAACAAATGAAAAATACATAAAGAGGAAGGAAAAAGAACATAAATCTCACGGTCTGTCAACTCCGATTGAAGTGGATTCGACTCCGGATCGTCAAGATGCACCCTCAAATGTTGTTTCTAAGCTAAATCTACTCAAGAATGTGTTTGATGAAGTTGGGGTAAAAAGTTTCCCAACAACATAACCTAAAAAATGCTGAAAAAATGACTTAAATAGGCAAAATGGGTTTTACGTGTTCGCCTAGCGAAGTCCCGTTTGCACAACGAACTTATGCATCTTTTGCTACTGCCAAAACATTTTTTTTCACGCGTTTTAGAACTTCCTGTTCGCACTGCAAACTCTTATTCGCCTAGCGGACATGACAGTAAACCAACACTTGTTTTGACCATAACGTTTGAACCGTAACTCCGTTTTACGCGCGGTCGGAAGCGTTGGAAAGCTTATTCAATGCTCTATAAGATAGTGACAAAATATCATTGCTTGTATACCTACAAAAATGAGATAAAAACAATTAAACTCAATGATATTTACATGATACGCAATATATACATTATAACGTAAACTATACAACATATGCACAAATGTTGAGGTTTATTGGTTGAATTAAGCCAATAAATACCAATTATTTACACTCAATATCACTATAATTTAGCACTTATCATGAAGCGAAGTATATTTTCCGAACTAAAGCTCTGGAAGAAGTATTGTGGTTTGAAGCTTTTCTTAAGGATCTAAAACTTCAAGGTCGAATAATCACTATTAAATGTGATAGTCAATTTGAAATACACTTGTCAAAGAATTCAACCTATCATGAGGGAACCAAGCACATCAATGTGGGACTGCATTTCATCAGAGATAATCGAGCGTGGAGAGGTCAAAGTGTTGAAGGTTTTGACTGATGACAATACTATTGATATATTAACCAAGACATTGCCAAGTAGCAAATTCTTCCACTGTATGCAGTTGATAAAGCTGCATGATGATAGCTAGTTGGTTTCGTAGTTCAGAGATTATTTCAAGGTGAAGATTTGTATATTATGGGTTATAAGCTAGTGTTGTAGAAAACTCTGTCGAAATCAAAGATGTGCATGTTTGTAGTCGAAGTTTATTTAAGCATGTTGAATTGGGTCAGTTTGTTTGCCCAATTGTTTAAGTTAACTTTGTAGTCTATAAATAGATTGTTTTCTCTCTAGTTGTAGAGAGAGTTTTTGGTTGTTAATATTCACTTGTAATATTTGAATTCTAATAGAGAAAGTGAATACTACAATAGTTATAACCAATCCTGATTCTTCTTCTTCTTCTTCTTCTTCTTCTTCTCTCTCTCTCTCTCTCTCTCTCTCTCTCTCTCTCTCTCTCTCTCTCTCTCCTAATAGAATTTTTCGTGTTTGTTCAAGAAACTAAATCTTTCTCATATTTTGATTTGTTCTTAACGACATCAATTTACAGCAGTAACATTAGTGAAGACTCTAAAAGCAATGAGGAAGTCACTTTCGATTCAAAGATTTCTCCATCCTATTGAAGTAGCATAGTGAATGAACTTCATAATACCACGAAGTTTAGAGCTTGAAATGATGTGGAAATGCAAAGATTTGATGAGAAAGCTCCCAAGTAATTGTCAATAGCATATGTGAAAATACCAACACATATGGATAATCCGAGATTATCTTTAGATGATTCATCTCTATTATATTTTACCCATAGGGGTCAAAGGAGCACCAACTAATCTGAATGATTTTAGGAGAAGGAGAAGGACAAAAATTAATATTAAACGCTTTGAGGATGACAAACTCCTTGACAATTGAATATATCCAACCGTGATAAATAATATAAGTCATTTGTACCCCATTTTAAATTTGTATTAGCTCATGAAAAAAGTTGATCATGCCTTTGTTAGGATCGAATGTCATTTCTTGTGTTTCAAGCTTTCCATATAATGAAAAGAATGATATCCAAAATTAGGTTTTTAAGTTGAGTGATCCACCATCGAGAAACAATGGAAAAGAGAGACTTTAGGTTAGTGATGTTTAGCCTCGTGTCAATTAAGTTCTCCATCTATCTCTAGAACTTCCTAGTATGACTGCAGTGCAATATCAAATGTTGATCACTTTCCCTTTCTATGTTACAAAGGAAGCACATAGAGACTATGTGCATGCCTCTCCTCGTCAAGTTATCATCTGTGGCTAGCACACTGTGCACATTCCTCCATGTGAAAAGATATTTATCCAGATGTATAAAAAGATGCCATATTACCAAAGGGAAATCCTTTATCTTGAAGCCTAGCCAATTATCATTCCGTATAGATATGTCCCTACCATTCCTTATGAGCCATTTAATGTGTTATTCAATGTAGTGAAAGTTGATGCTTAGTGACAAACCATATGGAAGATGATATATGGGAATAGGTATGTGTTGCGGTTAGAATATGATATCAAATTATTAATTAATTTGAATCGCATCCACTACAAGAAAATTGGCAAATTGCGACGGTTCATTTTAATAGATTACGACGGTTTTAACCGTCGCAATTTGTAAGTTACGACGGTTTCAATCCCGTCGCAAAAACGTGCGTCGCGAGGCCGTATTGCGACGGTTGTGAAAACTGTCGTACAAACCGTCATTATTTTCACGACGGATAGCTAACTGTCGTAATCTCCATATTGTGACGGTTTTCAACCGTCTTAACTTGCATAATGATTTTTGTTTTATTGCGAAAGTATATTGTGGCGGTTTGAACTGCCGCAAGTCGCAAATATTTTTTTAAAAATAACTATGGTATATTGTGGCGGTTTCAACCGCCGCAAGTTGCAAATAATTTTTTTAAAAAAATAGTATGGTATATTGTGGCGGTTTGAACCGCCGCAAGTTGCAAATATTTTTTTAAAAAAATCTGCAAATTCTCGACCACCAATAAAAGAGTCATTTCTTCAGTACCATCCCCATCCCTTTTTTCAAAGTAAAGCTGCCAAAATGTGATTCATATAAAAAAAATTCACTCATTATGCAAAACAACTCCGCAATACATTGCAACACATACATAAGGTCAACAATATGCCTTCCTCAGCTAAAGAAATTTAACAAAATAAAATGGAAAGAAAAGAAATACGTAAGCTCTTTGCATGGAACGTCACTGAGTCCACATATTCAAACATATAGCACAACAACTATAATTCACACCAACATTTAAATTGAAACAAAACCAACTCGTCAGAAAATGCTCAATTGAAATTCAATTAATCTAATAACAACATCAAACACTACAACACTAATATACTATTGCAGTGCAGCATACGAACATATGAATGTCTACTTCACAATTCAACCTTCTCACATATGAATCCGCAGAACCATAACAACCCAAATTTTAACTTAAAAAGACAACAAGTTTGATTTGATTAAAGCTAATTCAGATCTGGTACCAGAGATGTCTACTATCCTCACATGTCGTACTCTGAGGGGTATGGTTGGCCTAGAAAAGACATCTTTCCTACGATAAGAGACCTGTGCTAAAAGGGCATCCCCCCCGTCCTCCTCGACCTCCTCCTCCATCTCCTACATGCAATGGTTACAAATTTATGGATCAAACGAAAATGAGGCAAAGCTGTGTGCATGATATATAAAGCACATTAAAACTATGAAAGTAACATTGTATTTACTGATAAAAAACAGAAAACTAAAATGAAGTACACAAGTCTCTTATATATAAAACTTTGCCGTACTGATATTGTAACTAACTTCATTTAAATTGCAACTGATTCATAACTTATGTTAGCAGATCATAACTCACAAGTACAAGTCTTAGACAATAAAAAGATTTCAACTCTACTAACATTTGAATGGTGGGAACAGTAGCTAACAATTCATAAATTAGCAGATGCCTTGTGGGTCACTCCAACTAATCATTTACAGCCCATTCCTCGTTGACTTCAGTCACTAGAAGATTAGTTCTTTTTCTTCCTAACCTAACAGCTAATGTGTTTTTTCAAATGTAATGCTGGCTAATACGTGCAGTATATGTAGTTAAAAAATAAACATGTTTCTGTGGCTACACTAAAAAATCAAAACTTCGAAAATTAACTAACTTAGCACCAATTACACATACTGCCACGGCCTCTTCCCGCCTACAGGAATGTCATTGGATCCTGTTGAACCCCGATTGCCATAGCCTCCTCCATGTCCTCTAGAGCGAAAACCTCCTCTTGATGCTATAAAAGGATACTAACAACTTACACATAATCCCAAAAAACAAAACACTTGTAATGCAATGTATAATTATAATAGAATTACCATGTTGACCAAAACCAGCAGACCGAGTCAATTCAGACAGTGCAGGACTAACAACTTGACCAACATCTTGTAAGATCTTTATCAAATCCCTAGCATACTTGGCATTGCCACGGGTAAAAAAACTGTACGCAGTTCCTTTAGCTCCTGCACGACCAGTTCGACCAATTCTGTGGACATAATCTTCGAGGCTTGATGGAAGGTCATAATTGACCATGCATTTTATGTCCTTCACATCTGCAAGCAAGAAGTAATACATCATAAGGAATTGTGTGCAAGGTTAGAGAAGAAAACTGAATATATCCTTATCCATTCCCCTTAATATTCTAGAGATCAAACTCAAGTCAACACATTTATCTCATCAATGTGCCCACCTGAACCTTTCAGGGATAAGGAGCAGCTTCATCGTCACCGTCATCTAACACATCCAATTATCAACAAAGCATGTATGAGTCAACCGGGCTGCATAGAGAACCAGCTCCATAACTGTGGATGGGGATCAATGAATTTGACTATTTTTAAGAAAACTCCCAACAGTGGTATGACTAGTATGACATGACTTCAGGCAACACTGGAAAATTATTGATAAACTCACCTTGTTTTGTCAATCAAGTAAATCACCATACTTTAACCTGCCCCGTGAAATACAGGATCATACATGGGATACTACATCAGAAATTATAGATCAATATCCCAGCCATATCAAAGGAACTCTGCCCTAAGTCCTAGGCATCCAATATAACTTGACATCTTTAAAAGGATAGTTCCCAATTAACTCCATCAGGCGGTCTACAGTCTACTCACAGCTGCGAAACAATTTCATCTCATTAATCCCTGGTCAAGTTTCAGGCACTTCCAACAAACTCAAAATATGACCCCCACCCACACACACCCATACCATAAATTGTTGTCAAGGGGAACTGGAAAGCAGCCGGCCAACTCGTCTTTGGTTAAGTTTTAGACCTATATCAAAAATCCTAAGATTCTAAACACACAGTGATCCTACCAAGACCCCGTGCAACAACATCAGTGGCAGTCATTATTGGACTTCTGCCACTCTTAAATTCAGCCAAAACCCAGTCCCTTTCAGACTAGTTTTTATCACCATGGATAGATAATGCTGGCCATCCATCCATTCTCAAATGCTTTGTAACTTGGTCACATCCCTTTTTTGTTTCTGTAAATATTAGAATTCGGCTCCCGTCCATCACTTCTTTCAGCAGCTTGATCAATCTGCATTAGCAACATCAAAGTGTTAATTCGGAAAGCAAAAACATTGGTCACTATTTATTACTGTGACTGAGGAAACCAACCTGTTATATTTCTCCATGTCAGTGACAACTTCAACAACTTGATTTATAGATTGGTTTGCTTTTAGATATGGTGACCCAATAATCACCTAAAAGGCCATGATATCCCACAGGAAAACACACTAATCAATAATCACATATATAAGGTTTAATTAAGCAAATTTGTAGCACAATAATATTTAAAAAATTAATACTTCATTTACAAATATTTATACATAAATGATAGTATACATATGACACAGGAATGCTATTCAAGTAACCTTATATGGGTTGTGCAGAAACTGTCTTGCCAAAGCTTCAACATCCTTTGGCCACGTTGCACTCCAGTATAATGGTTGCCTATCTGGTCGTGACAACCGTCGCAATCTAGAAATAAGGACAGTTTTATGATAATTGTCGCAACTCAAGTGTCGTAAATCTCATTTTTTCTTGTAGTGATCTTTAGTTCACAATCGCTCTTTGATTTATCCGAAGGAAAAGGTCAAAAGAGGGAAAACCTAATTTTGCATCGTAAAGACAATGCGGGGAGAGATCTAGGTAAGGGGTTGGTTAAGCTTAGGGAAGGTATTAGCACCCTAAACTTCTGTAGTACTCTACAGGAACCTTTTGTTTAAATTTTACTATTTTGCTTTATTATTTGCTTGAAGTATATATAACTAGCTAAGGGATAAAGTGACTAAATGACCTAAGGGTTAGTCCTAAGTTTACTCGACAAGACTCGCATCTTGTGCCTATGTATCCTGGATAGGGAGTGGAATCAGAGTAATCGTAGTTCCCCTTGAAAGGGAGGTTAGAAACATCTTGATTGTGGTCAAGGTTTCAAATGGGGAGTAAACATTTCTTAAGGAAATGCTTACGTGGAGTCCTGAAACTCCTATTTCTACGTTAAAATTGTTAATTGAAAATTAGGGTTGACCAAATGTTCCACGGCGGGAAACCCTAAAACAGAGTACAGCGACTCTTTGATCTAATGCTAGAGTAAAGGGTAAACTTGTCCACGGCGGGACACCTAGTCAAATAGGATTTTGAAACGGTCAAAGATTAGGGTTATTGACTCGCCAATCAAACGACTAGACCTAATCCTTCGGAGGGTCCTAACGGTAAATGAAACGCAAATAACGAATATTATCATATGGCAGCATTAAAATACGTAAATAAAGAAAGCGGTAAAGAAAAGCATCGCAACGGTCACTCGCGTAAATTACAAATCCCAAAAATGCAAATAATAATAAATAACTGCGACGATTACTCGCATAAATTACAAGCCATAAAAAACAGAATAAGGCGACAATAGCCTCTCGTAATTACAAACCGAAAAATTGAAATATAAATAAAAGTCATGGATAAGTATGCAGAGATAAATAAGGATCAAGTGATTGCTAGATGAAAATTAAAACGACCTAAATCCAAGAGCTCTTTATTTTGGAATTTTTTTGTAAAAAAAACTTGTTTTAATAAAGAAAAATTTTTGTTTTGATTTTTAAGGTTTTAATAAAGAAAAGTTTGTTTTATATTTATGTTTTAATTTAAATGTTAAAAAAAAAATTTAATTTTAAAATGGGTTTAAAACTGGGGTTCCTATTAAAAGAAATGTTAAATCTAAAAATTACTATTTTGCATTTTTATTAAAATTTTAATCAAAAACTAACATTCCTGAATTAAATTTTTATTAAAAATGACTTTTGACTTTAAAAATAAATTTTATTTTTACTTTTAAGTTTTAAAATGCATTTTTTTAAAATTTTTTTTGAAAGAATGATTTTATGTTTATGTTTTTAGGTTTATTAAATGAAATTTACTAACTAATTTAAACCAGAATGTTAGATTAATTAATAATATTAAAACAAATAAATAAAATAATAAAAAAGTAAACTAAATAATGAAATAATAAAAAAAAGTAAAGAAACAGAGAAACAAATTAAAGGGGCTGGGGCGTGAGTTGTCTGAATGATTTAGGGTTTACTTCAACCTTCTTCTTCTCCTTCACGCGGTTGGCGGCCATGTTTGCGTATCTAGAGGCTCTCCGTTTTCGTTTTCGCTTGCATGCTTTTGGCCACTCCCTTCCTTCTTTTCGCCGCACCTGAAAAACACGAAATCGAAAACCAATGATGCATCCTTACCCTTCCGTTTTTGCTACCGATGGTTCACTGTTTAGATGAGGGCCGCCAGTTGCGCTTGGCTGTTGTTGTTGATGGATGAGGATGATGTTGTTCGATCTGGGCTTTCACCGCCGTCCGTGGATTTGGTGGTGGTGGAACTCGTCGGATGATGGACGATGACGAAGAATCTACCTCTTCTGAGTCCGATTGATGAAGAAGTTTTCTGGGTTTCGGTTCTTGATAGCTTCTTGATATCTCTCTTCCTCTTTCTTGGACTGAGGTGATGATGAAGGTGAAATCCTTCTGAACCTCCTTCTTCTTCTTCCGCGGCGTCCTTGTTCTAGGGTTTTCAACCTGAGAACCTCTTTTTATATGTGGTTTACTTGTGGGCTTTTTGATCTCGATTTGTTCTATTTTGGGGCAATCTTTACGTGGGTTTGCCAGGCTCTCGGAGGTTACGGTTTCCAGATTTTTGACTTGTTAGCTGATTGTTGCCGTTGAGCTTGTTTTGTTGGCTTGATCTGTTGCGAAAATGTTGTTGCTTTTTTTGAGAAATTTGTTGCTGGCTATTCGCTTGGATTGTTTGTTGAGTTTATCCATTGAACACGAGAATTTTCTGGGAGAAAGCGTTAAGGCCACGTTTGGCAAAACATTTTTTCCGGAAAAATCACTTTTTTAAAAGATAAACGCTTATTCAATAAGCACTTTTCTGGATAAGCACTTTTCAAACCAATTTATTTCTCAAAATCGCGAAAATAAAGTCGGGAGCCGGCTTCGGAATAATCCGTTACCCTCCGACACATCCGATGATGATACTACTCTGAGGGTGTCGGAAAAACTAATAGATTAAACTGTTGTTTTGCTTTTTTTTTTGCAGGTTCGGAGAAATCGGAAAAGTCGGAGAATCGGAAGAAATTTAGAAATTTTTTAGGACTTTTAAGAAAAGTGTAATTGTAAAGTTATTTGTTTTTTTAATGAAAACATAAATTAATTTTGGTTAAATGAAATTAAAAACTATTATTCAAAAATGCATGTTTTTTATTATTTTATTTTTTTTAAATGAAATGAAATGAATATAAGTTAGAAACTGAAATAAGACCAAATTAAAAAAATCAAAATAAAATTATTTAAAAATGAGAACAATATTAAGAATTATTAAAAAAAGAAGTGGAAACAATATTTAGAATAAAACAAAATTATTTAAAAAATGCAATGATAATAAAAATTGAGATGAGCTAAAATTAATTTAAAATGAAATGCAAATGACATAGAATAAAATTGATTTAACATAAAAGTGAAAAATAAAATGAAATGAAATGAAATTCTACTTTTTTAATCAATTCCTAATTTCTCCAAATTAATCGATCAATCTCGTTTCCGACAAAATCTCCGAATAAACCTTTCGGCAACGAATAACTTTATCGGAATAAATCCAACTTGGCGATTAAACTCAAAATGAACATATCCTTCGACTACCTTCAATCCAATAGCTTAAATCGATTTATTTTCGAACAGCTCAAATCCTTCTCAATCAAACAATTTCAACTACACCTCGGCCCCGACTCATATCGACAATACCAAACGCCTCAAATCTCCTGACTACAGCTCAAAATTCGTAAACTGACAGCCGGCTGTAAACAAATGACCATTTTACCCTTCATGAACTAAAGAGTGCACCACATGATATTTTCCTTCAAAATCAAACCAGCTACACAAACCTGTTAGCGACTGGTTAAATGCAATGTCTTAATGCAATGGAATGCAAAATAAAACTGACAAATCTTATAACAAAATTTAGGGTATTACATTAGATTTCTTGTTCATGAAGTATCTACTCTTTAAAGTATGTGAAATTTTGAACCAAAAGTTAGGCAACCTAATTTTTTGATTGATTTAATATCTCTTAAACCTAAACCACCTGCAGGACAAGTGGTGTGAGCAATGTTCCAAAAACTAATGTCTAGTTACCTTTGATTTATGCTACCATTTGAAACAAAATTTCTGATCCAGGTGTCCATCATCCTGAGAAGACAGGCAAGCCATTCATAAATTCTCATGCTATAAAGGAGCATACCATGAATAATGGATTTAACCATATGAATTCTCCACATCATAGATAACAATAACAATGGGCTTTTCCAATTCGGTAGTTTGGTAATAAACTTTTTAGATATGTGTTGCAAGTGATGCCTTATAGGTTTTCCCTTAAAGATTGGAACTCCTAGGTGCTCAAAAAGAGCATGACTAATGGTTAGACCCAAAATGTAATTTATTTGCATGAGTCTTAGAGATGACCCCTCCAATTTTTTTTATTTGCTTGGACTAATGTGTTGACTAGAGTTTGAACGTGCTCCTGCAATAATTGATGCATAATATGACTACTTCTCTCTATGTATTTGAAAAAAAAGAAAGAGGTCATCAACAAAGAAGGCATGCGATAAATCATAAACTATACGTTAGATATTTAAGCCTTTTATATTTGAATTAGTTGGCAAAGTTATGCTTATTTAGATATATTTATTTGTGTTTTTATGTTCTCTGCTTAAATAGATACTGGGTGTTCTCTTCTGTTGTTTTTCGAGCGCTGCTACAGCGATCCAGTAGAGCATGACTATCCTGAGACGTGTTATC